TTCGGTGCGGCTCTGACCCTGCTGCCGTTTCAGAGGGGTATCATACGAACACGGATGGAGCGGCCGTCGAGGCGAACGCTTCCAAACTAGTGAAGGAAGAGGAGGCGCAGAAAAACGAAAACAAAAAGAGCGACGCCAAAAAGAAGAAGAAGAAAAAGAAAAAGAAGAAGCCAGTTGATAATAGTTCCACTTCGGTGAACGTTAACAATAACTGCAGTGAAACGCGTAACGAGAATGTCCAGTAAGTTCGACAGATGCTCCGGGTTCATTGTCTGCGGGCGATAATTTACGGATGCTCGTTTTCCACAGGATTTCGATGTATTATCCTTACTTACACATGTACAGCCGCGCTTAGCGTTTGATTTATTCAGCTAAACGATGCGTTACACTCAATCCCCTATGAAACGTTGCGCGCCTTGCCTATTTTGTGTTCATTCCAACGTGTAGAACATTCCGTCTGTCATGCTCTGGAATGCAGTAATAGTAGAATCGCCCCACATGTAATGGTTGTGTTGCATTACTTATGCCTGAAAAGTTGTGCAAATTCACCTCAAATGCTTTGCGGTTGCAAACGCGCATAAATTTTAAATACATCATGGTGCTTTCGAATGAATGAAATTATAAATATTGATACACTATGCAGTGTACATTGTACATTGAGACATTGTACATTGTGCTGCTGTTCGCTCCGAAGCCCTGCTGACGCCGCCACGTGTGCGCTGCCCAGGTCTGACGAGGATACCGACGGTGAGGGCCTGGACCTTAACTCGGCCTTCGCCAAGGCGTCTGGAAAGGCCGCCCAGGAGAAGGTGGCCAGCTCCAACGGCAATAAGACGGAATGTCGCCGACCGTCCAGCCGCCCGGCAAACCACGTGAGTCTCCTCGCCTGTCTGCCGTGGACTGGCGTCGACGGTACGGTCTGAGAACACTGGCTGCCGATTGGAGAGGCCGAGAGACGGGGGTGAGGCCGTGTCAATTGAAGGATACCGACCGGAATTGAAGGAGTCTTCACTTTCAGTGTTGGTACTCTACCAACTGAGAAGTGCAGTCGGTAGGCACTAAAGCCGGGACCACTGGGTGCTGGGGACCACCAGGGCTTGGTAGCACGGGATAAGTGGAAAGGAAACCGTAAACGCGCTCCGACGGGAGGAACGGCGTGCCTGACTGGCTCGGGTTGCTGTCCGCTCGCTGCTGTCGTACCGTGCCGACCGACCCATGACCAGTGACCTGTGACCGCTGACCTCTGATCCCTGACTTCTGATCGTTCCAGGCGTCCTCCGTGGAGCCGCCGCCGGCGCTGCGGCTCCAGGCTCAGGCGTACGCCATGGAGGGCAACCAGCTGGCCAAGAAGGGCGAGTTCCTGCGCGCCGCCAACGTCTTCACACTGGCCATCAAACTGGACGGTAACGACCACCGCTTCTTCGGCAACCGCAGCTTCTGCTTCGAGAGGCTCAAGCAGTACGATAAGTGAGTCACTCGGGAGTGTCGGGAAACGATAGGCTGGTGATGATCTCATTACAAACGGACTTTGTAGCGGGGTAGATGGCTTATAGTTTTTCAGCAGCCTGCATGTGTCCTAAGAGTGTTGAATACTAAATCGGTTGAGGATTTCAAGCGCGTGACTCAGAGCTGATGTTGTCGCGTCTGTCTTGTTCCAGGGCGCTCAAAGACGCTGACCGTGCGATACAGATCGATCCGTCCTGGCCGAAAGGCTTCTTCCGGCGGGGTCGCGCGCTGCTGGGACAACTGGTGAGGCGCGAGGGGCTCCCGGCAGCCTCGATTGAGCTACTTGTCACTGCTGCTGGGAGGCGTGCAAATGGAAAGAATTGACACGCCGCTTTGAAGTACATGTCGTTATACCTTCAGTTGCCAATGTTTTTTAGAAATGTTAAGTTTTTAGGGTGTTTTTTACAGCTTTACAATCAGGAAGGCGGTTTTACAATGTTAAACATTACTTTAACCCTGACTGTTTTTCCCGCTCTCCAGAAATATGCGGAAGCTGAAGAAGCTTTTCGGCAAGTACTTAAACTTGACAAAAACGTGGACGAATGCCATCAAGAATTGGAGAAAATTAAGGTGTTCAAGTTGATGCAGATGGGCTTTCCGAGGGACAACGCCAGAGCGGCGGTCCGACAGTACAAAACTGAGGAGGTGAGAGGCACCCCGACTAGCGGGATCCCTCCAACGAAATACAGTTGGGTGGACTGCCATTGGATTCAAGGTAACACAACATTCAATAAGTTGTTTAACAGATCTTCAGGGTAGTACTGTTCTGGCAGTTTTCACGGCTTTCGATTGGTTCATTACTAAGGGAAGTTAATGGGGACGTGCCGAGCTCTTCAGTCTTACACTAGCGTTCCCTATTGTTTTTCCTCTGCCTACCTGTCCCCTTCCCAATGGCTGTCATGCTCCACTGCTGACTGTTCTGTCGGTGTCAGGCGGCGCTGGATGCCCTGCTGCGCGGGGACGTGCGCCAGCTACCGGACGACAGTTCCGACTCGGAGGATGACACGGGCGAGCCGACGGCCGCCGGCCGGCCCGTCGACCCCAAGGAGGACCCCTCCAACGTGGAGGGGCTGCGCTCGCTCTGGGTGGGCAATATCATGCAGACGGTGACCGAGCGCGACCTGCGAGACCTGTTCGCCAGGTAAGTGGACTGATCCGCTCCGAGGGACCCGCCGACCCGTTTTTGTTGCCGCCGACATCCAGTGTTAGTTTCCACTGTGCGGGTCTCAGGTCTATAGGTGTGTGCTCCGTGCTTCTGGCCGTGGGTTGTTCGTACCTTTAATTTGTATTTCACTGTCCTCTGGTGGCGCCCCCATAACGCGCCAACATCCGATTGATCTGTGGCTGATACACTTTCCTATGATCTTTCTCTCTGTGTCCCGTGACCACACGCCGTTCCTCGTGACTATGACCCTTTGACCATACCCGTTCTTGTGCTTGACCGGTGTCCTGTGACCACAGCCGTTCCTGTGACTGTGACCGGTTTCCTGTGACCGCACGCGGCCTGTGAGATTTGACCCGACCCCGCTCCGGTCGCAGACACGGCGCCGTCACCAGCGTGCGCGTCCTCCCCGACCGCTACTGCGCCTTCGTCAACTTTGGCGACAAGAAGGGCGCCAGTCTGGCCATGCAGCACCTGCAGGGACTGGAGTTCCACGGCAACCGGCTCAAGATAAAGTTCCCCGACAACCCAATCGTGGACGGACAGGCTAAGGTGGTGATCGGCAAGAAGGGGTGAGTGATCAGTGGTGACCGATCATGGGCAGGGTGCTGTGATAGAAGGTAGCTGGGTGCCTACTTGGATGTGTTATCTTAGGACGTGATATGAATGAAGAGGCGCGGTAGCTAATCACTATTTTTCCGTGCTCAGTAATGGGTGCAGTGTTCAGCGACCGTGCGTACAAAACGCTCGTTTCTCTGGGAATATCGTGGCTAGGTATGTATTTGCGCCTTGGTTGTTAGTGTGGCCGCATAGTTTGGCAAAAAGGCATATATAGCATTGCGTTGAGTAGCGACCTCTGCAGTCTGCAGTGCCTTGAAGCTGAGACAGACTATAAGATGCTGACCTCCAGTGAACCTACCGGCTACCAACCATCCACTGCCCAATTGCTGTGAATGATATCTGTCCTGACGGCTGACACTGCTCGCGATTGGTCCGCTGTGACCCTCTGCCGTGTTTCCACAGGCCAGTGGGCGCTGGCGCCGGCGGAACGCGCAAGCTCACCGGCCCCGTGGGCGACGGCGAGTGCTACTTCTGGCGCACTTCCGACTGCTCATACGGCACCTCCTGCAAATATAAACACATTGCCGCCAACAAGGGCATCGACCGCAAACCGTGGCGCCGCTGATCGCCGAGAGCCAGTGGACTGGCGGAGAGAGGGCGGAGAGTCAGGCAGAGTGAGGGCGTCGGCAGGAAGGGCGAGGAACAGTGAGAGGTGGGACGGACGCTCAGAACCCGGGGACCAGTGTGGGCGGCCGTCGCCAGCCGCTCCGCTGCGGAAAGGTCGCTCCGGAGCTCATCCGAGGGAGGTGGGAGCGGCGGCGGCGGCCGCAGTATTGTGATCGTGTCGCCAGACTTTCCAGTTTGATATTGGCGTGTGCGTATGTGTATATCTGGGGGGGGGGGGGGTGAAAGAGTTAAATGGGTTGTGTCGCTGTGTGGCAGCGCTAAGCGTCTGTGCCTCTTTACGAGGCCGGCACGAGCGGGTGTGTTTGTTCCGGCGCGCGCGGGGGTTTGTTTCTGTGCGACTGTGTGTTTGTTTCGGTGCGACTGCGTGTTTGTTTCGGTGCGACTGCGTGTTTGTTTCGGCGCGCGCGGGGGTTTGTTTCGGTGCGACTGTGTGTTCGTTGCGGCGTCCCTGGCGTCTGCAGCAGTTTGTATTAGCCCAGAGACGGCGCCAAGTGCCATCGGCCTTCCTTCCCCGGCCGAACACGGCCGCCAGTGCCTTGCAGGTACGCTGTGAGCGGCGCTTGTTGACATTATCACCCATACACTCTGAGCGGGGTCGGTGTTTTATACCCTGTTTTTGGAGCCGCCGCCGGGCCCGGACGCGCTATCATCAATCCGGCGTGAACCGGCCGCTGTACGGTGCCTTAATCTAGCAGACTTCATTCGGGCTCAATACAAGTGTCTGACCCGTAGTAGGTGGCTGTTGGTGTGACGTTTAGCCGGCAGTATGGCGGGCTGCCTGCCCGGGACGACCGAGTTGGTACACTGGGGACATCTGTCGGGTGGACGTATCAAGTACGTCTTGAACTCTGGAAGTGCAAAGTTTTTTTTTTTTTTGGAAATGCATCATTTGGCCTAGAATATTTTGAAAGACAAAATTTTCCAACGGCAGTTCCTGTGCAAGCTAGCCGACCCTCCAATGTGCTAGTCTCTCTTTTAATTGCGCCAGTATAGCCGTAGAGATGAGCCAAATTCACTTGCTCTCTCAAGACGCGAAATTCTCAGACTTTGTCCAACGAGCTTTATGAGGAGCCTACGTCAAACATGAAAATCATAGAATGTATTGAACGTGTCGCGTCCACAAATACATAATGTTCTTAAGACAGATGTAGCTCTACGCCTGTGAGCGGCTTGCGATAAAACCTACCAAATGCTCTTGGCTACAAACATTCGAGAACCGCTGCTGAAGTTCTCAACGGGATTCGACAAACGTCCGATAAATCCATTCGCACACCACCTGCATCAAACGCTCTCAAGTCCGAGGGCGTCTTGAAGTACGAGTGGCGGTGACGATCTGTCTTTGGCACGCGCCGTGCGTCACAGTCTTTCAGATCGGTGCCCCGCCCAACTCCTCCACCAGGCCCTCGACGTCATCTGCCCAGGAGAAGGACGGGTCGTACTCCTCGCTAGGATCCTGGTTCTCGTCCTCCGACTCCGGCTCCTGTTTCGCCGCAGGAGGCTCCGGCTCCGGCTCCGGCCGCTCCTGTTTCACCACGGTTTGCTCCAGATCCTGTTTCGCTGCGTCCGGCGGCGGGCTGAGCCGCTCCTGTTTGATCAGGTCCGGATCGATCGGCTCCTGTTTGACCACCACCGGGAACGACAGCTCCCGTTTCGCGGCTCCGGGCTCCTGTTTCACGTCCTGTTTCACTGTCCTCGTGTCCTGTTTGAGGTCGACCGCCTTGGGACGCTCCTCTGTGGCGTGGTCGCCGGCCGCCGTGTGCTCCTGTTTGATTGTGGCCGGCTCCTGGGGCGGCTTCCGTTTCACGGCGATGGGCTGCGCCGGCGGCGGCTTGTCGCTGTCACGGCGCCGGTCCGGCGTGCTGGGCACAGACGCCGTGCCGGCCGACTCGGAGTCAGAGCCGATCGAGTCAGAGTCCTTGCGACTGCGCAGCGCGGCCAGCTTCACCGGACTGGAAACACAGGTGACGGGCGGGCGGTGAGTGCACGGTAAGGAGCAGCAGCACACACCCGCAGCTATGGCAGCACTGAAGCTAAGAGTGAACCTATTCTCGAAAGATTATAACGGACACTGAAATCATTGTCATCATGCATTTCCAGACAATACCAATTCGACAGCATTTAAGACGTGGATTAGACGGCATGCGTTTTACCTCCACCTACATCAACACTTTACATAAATATTAGAACAACTTTGTGTGTAGACAATGAAAAACGTTTCTCGTTTGTTTAAAAAAAAAAACTAGCGCCCGCCCAGTTCCTTCCGGCCCGTCCGGGACACGTCCACTCACTCGTTCCAGTAGTGTAGGTGGATGCGCCAGTTTTTGATCGCCGAGTCCCAACGACGCCGGCTGGTCTTCCGCGTCTTCACCGGGGTTCGCGGATGGAACGGCTCCCGCTTGTGCCTGGCGGGAATACAAGCGTGAAAGTTATAAGAATTCGCAATAGAATGACCTGGCCATGACATTGGTCTTCACTCTCACAACGCCACATATAAACACCAACTTAATGACACAAAAATAAGATTATCGTATCATCATAGCAACATCGAGAGGGAAAAGAACCGTACTTTCTTTGAACACCGCCATTCGCATTGCAAACATCTAAAACCCCGATAAACCGACTGAAATTGCATATCATTTAATTTCATTCCCACCAGTCACCACTAGTTACGTCGAACCTGAACACACGTAGCAGCAGTGAGGGATAATAAAAGAACAACGTTGCACCAACATTAATTTTTGCAAATTAAGCCCATTGAAAAGCTAACGGACTTACTTTGGGACTGTATCGATATATTCCTGGTAGCAAAGCGTGTTCTTGCCGTAGTCAAGCTGCTTTTGCCTTCTTGCCAGTATAACAGGGTCGGTTTCTTTTTCGAAACGAGTCCTGTAGGAAAGCACCGTCCAATTAAGGTAAAAAACGCACATATTTAAAGACATCTGACGACAAAAAGTGTCTTTCTTTGGCTCACTACTTCATTTGCACGGGATTGGAACTGCATGATAAAACCGTGTACCCATGAATGATAAAAATGCATGATAAAGCCGTGGAAAACAAAACATTCGTATCTGTCGATATTTTCTTGGATTAAGTTTCCACCAATGTACCGGGTTAGTGGCGCGGGACTGACCTCTCTGGCTGAGGGGCGTCGTTTTCGGTGGACTCATTGGGCCAGGACGAGCTCGAGTTGCGCCGCTGCCGAGTGCCGCGCCTTCTGAACGGCGGAGACAGAGGACCCCTGGTCTTTCTTATGCATCACCATCATATTTTACAGTTCAATTAAAAGCAGTTACCCAGTTCTACACAAATAATACCATTTAAAATACAAGTTACTCACCCAAACTAATGCATCCGTTAATCATACAAATCAAAACATACAGTTATCGCGTAAACCTGTACCTCTAGTTAATGATAAAACATGTATGATAAAACCGTGGAAAACAAAACATTCGTACCTGTCGATATTTTCTTGGATTAAGTTTACACTCGTGTACCGGGTTAGTGGCGCGGGACTGACCTCTCTGGCTGAGGGGCGTCGTTTTCGGTGGACTCATTGGGCCAGGACGAACTCGAGTTGCGCCGCTGCCGAGTGCCGCGCTTTCTGAACGGCGGAGACAGAGGACCCCTGGTCTTTCTGCGAACGTGCGGTACGCAAGACACATTAGCCGAGGCGTACTCAAGGCAGACCATGATATCGATAGAGGGGTGAGTTAGCCAGCTAGCATCAGGCTATCAAACGGTATGGTATCTTTGAAAAACTAAACCGAAATAATCTGAGTTTAATGTGCCAGAGGAGTTGATAAATAAAAGGTACAAGAAAGATCACAAAGCGGTACTCACCACTTAATAATTGCAGCTTGAGCTTATGTTCAAATATCTAGTGAATTATTATTAGCAAGTGAATTTAACCCATTAAAAACCAGCAGAGTCCAGCAGACTGTCCATAATTCATGGAAGTACACTGCTCTAACATATGCCCGTCAATACCTGTTGTCATTGTCGGGCGATCTGGATCGGGAGCGCAGCGACGGGCGCCGCTCCTCGTGTCGGCGGCGGTGGTTCAGACGCTCCCGGAGGTCCCTGCCGCGCTGCTGCTCCACGTGCGACCTGCCGCCCAACAATGACGCTGCACTGTCATAACCAGGACATACCAAGAGATGATTATGATGATTTGGGGATTTGTGTCGCTCAGACTACAAAGGTCATTGGTGCTCACACTGAGAATGGTTTGCTTTCATGGTTTCATGGTTCATTTCATTGTTTGCATTCTTTTTCATAATAGCCATATTTGGTAAATAATGAAATGAATGTTGGTAAAAGCATGAAACAACTACATACTGTGCTGAGCATTACTGGGATAACAATGATAGTGTTCAACTTGAGTGTTAGGTACACATTGGCACAATCAGCTGTACCAAGTTTGAATTGAAATTTCATTCTGAATATTTTGTGCATGATAAATATTTCACATCCCATACCAACACAAAGAATGAGCGAAACATCTCACTCTTACTGTGAGTCAGTGAGAGAAAAAGGAGGGAGGGGAGAGAGGCAGAGAGTGAGGCAGGGAAGCATAGAGGCAAAGATAGAGGTGAAAAGAGACATGGTGATGGGCATAATGGTAATAGTGGGGTAAGAATAGGAGAGATAGGTATGGCAAATGAAAGTGAAAGATGGGGATGGTAAGAAGTGGATAGGAATTGGAAAATACAGTGACAAGTTACTAGAACTATAGTTCTTTTTCAAAAGTGGCTTGGCTTCCAAACATTTATTTATTTAGACACTCACCCTTCAGCCAGAAAAACAAAACAAAAACATACAGTTGGCTGCATACAGTGATGTCAACATAAAATGCCCATATTTGCAGAAACGTTTTTAATGTGAGTATTTCACCACAAAATCAAAAATGAAGATTTAAAGTCAGAATTTTCAGGCAGATTCAGAACTCGGATGTTGCCAAAACTTGTTTTTTATAAATTTAGTCCGAACCTTTTGATAGGAAGGATTCACAAGGACAGCGCCACCGCTAAGCACAGCTTGTTGCGGTGACCCTGCCTCTACCCTCCGATCGCGCAATTCCAGTTCTATGGCAGAATTTAGTCCAAAGTTTAATGTGCGCACATAGCCGCACGCAGCCGGTCCTCTCACTGACTTTGCCTGGCTACGGCCTGCCACCAACCGCAACCATACCTGTCAGGAGGCCCATATATGTCAAGCGCCCGTCGCACTTCGAACCTGGACTGTTATAACCGGGAACGCGTGCTCTCACCACACTGAGTCCAACGGCAACGCTCTACCAAATGAGCTACGGGACCGGCTTATATTAGCTTTGAAAATAAACCTGGAGCCAACCCACTTTTGAAAAGCAAGCCACAGACAATATCTACACCTACTTGTACTTACATGCTCAACAATGAGATCAGTGATCTGAAATACAGGAAACCCTTCAACTAAATTAGGTAGGTATATGCTCAACCAACTCAAACTGAAACTGCTTGGCAAATCAAATTGTAAGTTATACCAATTGATTGAGGCACACTGTATCATGGGAGACGGGCGCGTAGCAACCCCAACGTCCACGGACCACGACGGAATAAATACGTTTCGTCCAAGGCCCTGTGTTCTATATACCGGGTGTTCCGAAAAAAGTGTCACGATTTTAGTCACGTGCGATTTCCGTAAAAATTGTCCGAAATAGTTTGGCTTAAGATATGTTGCTCACAACCCTTGTCGATTTTGGTGGACAAAACGGTTCACCAAAATCTACGATGGTTTTCTCGCCAGAACAAAAAATCAAAATCGTCCGATTATGGTTCGAGACGAAATCGTACGTCACCGTCCGCCGCCGACTTCGACGCGAGTGTGACATGGAAACTCGAGATCTGCCCTGCAACAAACTCATTGCAAGGTTTGTTAACCATTTTGAGACAACAGGTTCAGTCCTGAATACTCACAGGGGCAGCAGCGGCAGGCCAGCATCGGTTTCAAAGTCCCCAGAGACCATCGCGGCCGTGCGAAATTCCGTCATTGCCAGTCCCAAGAAGTCGCTCCGTCGACGCTCTCAACAGCTCGGACTTGCTAAAACCAGCGTAAGACGCATCCTATGCGACGAGCTAAAACTGTCATCGTACATAATATCCACCAGACATAAGATGACGGATCGGGACAGGCAAAAGCGGCAAGTCATGTGTCAATGGATCTCCAACAAGATGGAGAGGAACGCGCGGTGGGTGAACCGAGTCTGGTTCTCAGACGAGGCTCACTTCCACCTGAACGGTGCGGTGAACAACCACAACAACACTTTCTGGGGTAACTCACCACCGGAAGAAGTAACGGAGAAGCAGCTGAAGGGCCCGAAGGTCACTGCCTTCGTGGCCTACAACGCCACTCACGGCCTCCTCGGTCCCTACTGGTTCGAAGAAGATGGCCGGACCGTCACCATCAATGGCGAGCGCTACCGCGAGGTCATCCGGGAATTCTACGCGGATCTGACCGATATGCTCACCGATAACCAACTGCAACAGGCATGGTTCATGCAAGACGGAGCTCCGCCTCACACTGCGCGTGAGAGTATCGAATGCCTTAAGGAGCTGTTCAACGCTCGCCTCATGTCTCTCGGCACCGCCCATGAGTGGGCTCCCCACAGCCCTGATCTCAACCCGCTAGACTTTTGGCTGTGGGGGGCTGCCAAGGACACTGTGTACGCAGGCAAGCCCAAGACACTGGTCCAGCTTAAGCAGAACGTCGAAAGATACCTGCATCAAGTCGGTCCCGAGACTCTGACGAAAGTCGCTGAGAGTTTCCAGGCCAGAATCAAGACGTGTCTCAACCGCGGTGGTGCCCATATCGAGAACGTGAACTACAAGAAGTTCGCGTAAACTTGTGATCGCAGGAACTCCTCTGCCCTCTGGCAAGGAGTTATAGCACTGATACGAGAGTAACCTTGTTGAAAAACGACAAACGTGAGCTTTCATATGGTGTATGTTTTAATGCGTTAATACTTGTCAAGCGTTTATAACACACGTTTGAAACTGTGACACTTTTTTCGGAACACCCTGTACTTTGGTTTCGTCCTTGCGTTTAGTTACAAAGGCCAAGCGCAGCCAAGCGTAAGTTATCGTCGTGTACAAAAGATATTCCAGTTTGTGACGAAGCTGATTATAATTGGTCCCGACTCTTGATGATGCTGATCTACGTCATATGAGTGGTCAGTTGGTATTTATCGACAGCTGCAGCTTTTACAATCGAACACATTTTTGGCGCGATTTATCCGCAATATTATGAATGTAAAGCGCCAGTTTGGCTTTGACTGCCATATTCGCGGGTGAAGTTAAAATGATACCATATTTCAGACGGGCAAGAATTGTGGCAAGTTCCTGCTTACACTCACATTTCCCAAGCATGTAAAATGTAAATATTATCTTTACCTGTTCAACATCCTCTCAAGGAATCACCTCAGAACTGGAAAATCATCATAACAACGGACAACCTGAAATTCGATTCGTACGATAAGTGACTGGTGATGCGCCACTCACTCACTGTGACGCCGCATTTTCATCTTGCCACATCCATTGCTGGGCCTGAGTACGCCCAAGGCCCTAGTACGCCCCTGTCATGCTCTACTGCGCTGTGTGCGCCTTAGCGTCGCCGTCACCGTCAGTACCTTGCCCCCAGACAGGTGATGCGTCAGCTCGTAGTCGTACGGTATGCTAACGGCGCCCCACGGAATCGCGGCGTCTGAGCGGTCGATAGCGGCGTCACGCGGGCGGTACGAGGCCGGCCGGACCCGGTGCGGTGGCCAGCACGGGGCCCAGCCGGCCAGAGACGGTGCGCTGGGCCCGCCGCTGATCGAGGGCCGTCTCACGGCCGCCGAGTACACAACTCCGTACAGGGGCGTGAGTGCGCCGCCGCTGACTCGTGTGAGCGGCCCGGCCGGCGCGAGGCGGTGTTTCAAGTAAGTATAGCATTGCCCCATCACACGCAGCCAGCGAGCTGACTTCCAGGGGTGGGGTTAACGGTAAAGGACTTAAACCGGGCTGCCTGACCACAACGGTCAACAAACCAACGGCGATTTATCCCAAACACTGTTGACCGTACCCGTGTAGTGTATGTACATAGTCTCATATTTGCTAAGTGCCGGTGTGTGCTGGCTGACTGCTGCGATAGGCGTTATCACAAGTGTATTCGCGGTCATTGGGGCGACGTAAGAAAAGAAGAAAACAACTGGCCCCAAGAACTTTGAATTATCAGTTAGCATGCATCTTTTCCTTGATCTGTATATAATTTACCATTAATTGCTAGAGAAAATTGCATTTAAAATCTTCCATCTATGTTTTTTTTTCATCGTTTGCACAATATGTTCTTTTTTAAAATAGAAACACTAATTAGAAATAGTTCCCGCATCATCAAGAACAATAGGGAAGGCTTGAAGTGAATACAATAATCTTAACGGTGTTGTAATCTATGTGAAGACACTTCTAAAATTGCCTGTAGAAATATTGAAGGCAAAAGTTCAACTTTTTCACAAGACGGATGTCTATAAACCTATTCAACGTGTGACAACTCAGCCGGTATTTCGTCGCCTACAGCCCAGCTTTCCCTAGTGACCGATAGAGGCGCTGCTATCGATGTCCGCCCGTGCCGCCTAACGGTGTGCTGTGTGCCGCAAGATGCTGCTGGACGCGCTGGGCTGGGCCTGCTGGCTGCTGGGCTGGTCGGTCTGGCTGCTGGGCTGGCCGGCCAGCCTGCTGGGCTGGGGCCTGCTGGCGGTGATGGCAGCGCGCGCGGCGCTGGGCCCCGAGACGGCCGGCAGTCTGCACGATCGCCTAATGGCCTGGGTGTTCAGCCGGTTCTTGGAACAGCAAGAGGCCCACCTGGGACCTCTCAAGGCCGACCTGTTCAGACCGATGGCGCAGATGAAGTCGGCCCAGCCAGAGCTGACAGACGGCGCCATCAACATTCTGGAGGTGAGGGAGCTGCCACGGAGCTGCAGCCGGTATACGGCGGTGAGCACCCGAACGATAGTGCCTGCCGAGAGAGGTTAACTCTGGAGGGTTGGCTGAGAGGCTTGACTCGACAGTCGACACCGTAGATTGCCCCGATTGCCACATCTCCTCTCAATGTAGCCTGTGTGTTTGCTGTGAGCCCAGAACGGTCATTGGGGCCAACGGCATCGCTTACCTACCTATGTAGGCAACGGGAGTCGAACCCGGAACTTGTTAATGGGCGAGATGGCAATAAATTTACTTACCTACTAAAATTGGAAGATGTTTGATACCTAACAGTGAGAGGTAGGTTATAGGTACCTAGGTAGGTATGTGCTGCGATTTGAGCCTCAAATTTGGATAAGATGTGAATAGTTTTGTGCAATATCGAAACTACGTAAGTTCAATTTATGTTCAGTTGAGCAGAATGAAATAAACTAAACGTACCTAAATTACCCCGCGCCGGGCCGGGGGGGTGTTTGAACACCCCCCTTGCGGTTTTTCGCAGATATCTCAAAAACGGCGGCGCGGAGCGCCGCCGTTTTTGGCACACCTGTTCGTGCATCTTTTCCGCACATGTTGTGAAAAGTTCAGACCCAGGTCACCTTAGGTCAGGTCACCAGGTCACGCCAAGTGACCTCACCTCAGAAAAAAATAAGAATGTTCGTCATAGCTACACCGACTGAACGATTGCCTTGAAACTTTCAGCGATTGATAAGAGCAACACTATCTATAAAATGTAGATCTCGGAATTTTGATATCGTTGACCTAAGGTCAGGTCAATTTTGCGGCCTCTCCATTTTAAGTCAATGGGAGAAAATTGAAAAGCGCCTGTTTTGCACGAACGCTATTCTAGACACTCTCAAACATCGAGATGTAGGTAAAATAGACACACTGAACCAGAAAATGGCAACTGTGACCCCTCGTTATGTCCCCGAGGTCATCTCAGGTCACGAACAGAATCTAACAGTTTTTTGATGATAACTTCTGATAGAGGCGTGCTAGAGCGCTGAAAACGCCTTAGATGTGTTCGGCTCGACGTTGCGGATCGACTGATATGCAACATGACCTTTTCCGGTCAGGTCATGACCTTGACCTGAGGTCAAATTTTCAAGTTGACCTTTCAAGGTCAAATTATAGTTCATTCGACGCGTCTCGACGAGAGGAACACGATGCTGGCAAAAGTAATGTCATAGCTCTTTTGAGTCAAAAGTTATTGCCGAAAAAACGTTTTTCGTAAAAACGGCTATTTTTGGAGTTTTTGCCTTCTGGAGGCTAAACCGTTGACCTGAGGTCAAATCTGAGAACATTACTCAGAAAGGTCTGTTAAAGGGCTATCGAATGCGCTTTTTTGCGGCGCTGTAGCTCTATCGGTTCCCGAGATAGCCGTTGGCAGTTTCCAAAATGTTGAAATAGTGAACATTTGACCTTTGGTGACCTCTGGTGACCTGACCTTTGACCTGACCCAAAAATGACCGAAGTGTTTTCGTCCTTATTTTGGACGTTCTTTCGATTGCCCTTTACCGCGTGTCGCTACGTGGCCCAGGAGCCGAGTTAGAAGGGGGGGGGGTGTTCAAACACCCCCCGCGGCCCGGGGCGGAATTTCAGAGCACCGGCCCGGCGCGGGTTACGTCCAGGAACCAAAGGGCAGGCGGCCCATGGGCAGCGTGGGGTGACGGGAGATCATGGGTGGCTGGGGGCGGTCACGTGTTTTATGAGTTTTAGATGTGACTGCGTAATGATCCAATACGCCTAATGAATGGCAGTTGGAACGGACCCGTGGCCCATTCAAAGCGGTCTGATTGCTTCCATCACGACGAATAAAACGCTTTGAACCACCTCCCGGACGAGTTTTAGGCCCTTCAATGCGAACAGTTCGGAGACGGCTGGCACGTAATCTCACGTCGCTACGATATTTTTGGAGTTATCCTCGGCTTCTTCACCCCAATTGCTGGTTCGTAACGCTAAAATGTTGGTTCGGAGAGCTCAGATCGGTGCATAACTGATTGTCGTCCTGTGCCTGCACTAACCCCGTAGATACCTACTGGCTATCACCTTTGCCTTTGACATCGTTTCTGTCTTCAGGTGGGCGTCGGCTGCGGCACCAACCTGCCCTACTACCCGGCCGGCTCTCAGCTGACCTGCGTTGACCCCAACCCGCACTTCCGCGCCTACTTCCGTTCGGCGTGCGCGGCTCGCGCGGCGCACCTCTCGCAGGAGGTGCGCTTTGTCGTCGGCTGCGGCGAGCAGATGGCCGATGTAGCCGACGCGTCCGTTGACGCCGTGGTGGTGACGCTGGTGCTCTGCAGCGTGCGTGACGTCACCCAGGTGGTGCGGGAAGTGCACCGCGTGCTACGGCCGGTACGTAACTGCGAACTGTGTGCTCCAGTGTGAAACGGTAACAGATTGGTTATGCTTATGCTTTTGGTTCGGTAGAGTTGTATTGTAATGTGTTAGAATGATTCTCACTTTTAAAGACTTAAATGAACCAGTTGTTACTCTCAAGCAAGTCCAGAGTCCAGACTCTAGCGCAACGTATGTAATTGCGTGCAATGTGCATCGTATGCTTATCGTAAGTTCAGGGACCACAATCGCTCGCATGGTGCCTCGCCCGGTGCCATTTTTATCCGTTGTTCTTCCTTCCCATTGGAGTGCGTCACTTAATTAACTTTAAGACTTGTTGAAGAGAAGTTTTGACGCTGACATTGCAGCGCCAGCGTTTTGTTGTCACCTGTGTCGGACTCGGTGTGGCAGTGATTTTGTCGGTATCCTGAAGAGTAGAACTCAACAAATCGTAAAATGTCTATCGTTTGTTAGGGTTAACGGCAATAACTTCAGTTTTCTTTGTTAGATAGTCATTACTCCTCGGCCAAAGCATCCACTACCAGGTCATGGTTTGATTTTTTTTTTATAAATTTAGTCCGAACCTTTTGATAGGAAGGATTCACAAGGACAGAGCCACCGCTAAGCGAAGCTTGTTGCGGCGACCCTACCCTCTACCCTCCGATCGCGCAATTCCAGTTCTATGGCAGAATTTAGAGTCCAAAGTTTAACGTGCGCACATAGCCGCGCACGGCCGGTCCCCTCACTGACTTCGCCTGGCTACGGCCTGCCACCAACCGCAACCATACCTGTCAGGAGGCCCATAAATGTCAAGCGCCCGTCGCGCTTCGAACCCGGACTGTTATAACCGGGAACGCGTGCTCTCACCACGCGGAGTCCAACGCTCTTACCAACTGAGCTACGGGACCGGCTTGAATAATGAGCACGGCGTGAAATATCATATCCCGACCCTTCCTCAGGGTGGCAAGTTTTTCTACCTGGAGCACATCGCCCGTGAGGAGGGCTCCGCGGTGCGTCGGCTGCAGAACGTACTGACCAACAGCGGCATGTGGCCCTGTCTGCTGCAGTGCTGGCTGAACCGCGACCCTCGGCCGGTGAGAAGGCGGGACGGACGGGAGTCGGGAGGGGACGGACGGGAGTCGGGAGGGGACGGACGGGAGTCGGGAGGGGACGGACGGGAGTCGGGAGGGGACGGACGGGACGGGACGGGACTGGGACAGGACGGGACTGGAACAGGACGGGACTGGGACAGGACGGGACTGGGACAGGACGGGGCACGGACGGGACTGGGACAGGACGGGGCACGGACAGGAAGGTACTGGGACAGGACGGGGCACGGACGGGACACGGGTGGGACAGAACAGGACGGGACTGGGACAGGATGGGACTGGACAGGACGGGGCACGGACGGGACACGACACGGGTGGGACACGGACAGGAGGTATGGCTTATGTATTTATTTCTGGGCATATCTGCTTTGTTTATCTTATAGATTATAGTACTACAGTGGAGTTGATGCCTTCTTCTAGAGAACGTAGACGGTAATTTATCACGTCCAGTACTCAGTGCTCACCTCACGCCGACCGCTGCAGACAGTACCGCCTGTCATGTCTGAGTGTGCTGTGTGAGAGCAGTGTGCTGCCTCGCCGGGCCAATACGCCGGCGCCGCGCCGCGCCGGACCGGACTGGACGGGCCCGCCGGGCCGCCTCTCATGCATTATGCGGCACCAATCAGTGCAGGGAGGCCAGATGACGGCGGAGGGGCCGGCAGCCCGATGAAACCAATATGGCCGGACGGCCGGTCGCCAGCGGCCACTTCGGCGGCAACTGTGCCATGCATGCATGTTTGAGCGCCCGGCGGGGGGAAGGTACGACCCGTCCGCCGCCCGGCGCCTCTGCCAACGGAACGGTAGCGGACATGGCGCTGTCCAGTACCGCCCGTGTCGGACCGTTGTCCACTGAGGCTGACCTGCGCCCGTTCTCCTACCGGCAGGTTATCGAGAGCGGCCTGTTCCAGTCTGTGGACCAGCAGCTGAGGCCCATCGTCAAAAAACTAAAGCCCTGGGACATGACCAACCTAACGAATCAATGTCTTGTCGGTGTGGCCACAAAGTGATTGGGGTGGGTCATGGTGCAGGTCTCAGACCTCCCTGAACCGGTCTATCGGGTTGAACTCTGGGAGACGGCTTCGGGTCATATACATAGGGTGGCGGGGCATTCCAATGAACCGAATGTTCTACCTGACTGACGTGTTAAATGTTGCAAGGCATGTTTTTGGGTGAGCCATTTGAACCAGCAATTTTTTTTTGTATTTTGCTGGCATGCTCTTCTTGTCAAACGCTGCTGACGCCTTGTCGGTCACTTGTGCCGCCGGTGAGTTTTAGATTCACGTGTCAAAGCATCGACATTTGAAATGACATTCCATAGCGTATTTCGCTGCTCCATTCCATAGCGTGTGATGAATATTGTACCTACCGAGTAATTGCATTTCGTAGCAAGCTGCCGTATAATTTGGTTGTGATAGCCCACACGGCGTGAAAAATGTCGCTTCATTCCATGTGATGTGATTTTATTGGGTACCTGAATCGAATAAAAGTTAAATGAGCTCTACTTTCTTTTCACCATACCTAATTACTATTCAAACTCATAACTCGGATAGACAGGTGACTCAAGTGAAAAAGTGAAATTGTTGAGTAGCGCACATCAAAACCGCATCCGCCACTGTCTACACATCGTTACCAACTCTAACTAGTTAGAACAATTAAATGATATCAAAATGCAATATATTTATCACAGGTACCTAAATGCAGGTAAATGCGCATGGTTATTATTATTGAAATTAGGTGATACCTAAGTGGCAAGTAGGTACCGCTCTCGCGAGATTAAGCGGTAGGGTTTGCACTTTAACCCTCGAGCCGCTGGGGGGGGGGGGCATAAAGTTGCCCCCCCTTTACGTTTTGTGGAAAATCTCCGAAACCTGATGAGCTACGAACGTGAAACTTGGCATAGCTTCAAATGAATACCTAGGCAATGTTTGGAGAAAGTTTGGTGGTTGTAGCACCAAAGATGACGTCACAGTGACGTCATAACATTTTGTCGTTTTCCGATATGGACCGTTTCTTATGACGCTGAGCATAAAACTCAACTGTAAATGAACTAGACAGCACCTGCTGTCATCCTAAAACATCTAAGCACACTTCCATCTAGTTCCTGACCAATAATCGGCTTTTTATATTCGGTCCCATACATCTGATGTATCGTGAGGAAACTGAGAGTCGCAAATCTATAATTTTACTTATGACGTCACTGTGACGTCATTTCAAATGGGATCGACACCAAATTTCGACACAACCTCGGCTAGGTATTCAGAAAGACGTGTGCAAAGTTTTGCTTCTCTATCTCTTCGCGTTGCGACGATATCGTCGCGGAAGTAAAGGGGGGGCAACTGTATGCCCCCCCCCAGCGGCCGGCGGGTGGCGCGGAGGCCCAGCGGCCGCCGGGTTAACATTTCCGGTTATATCTCAGAAACTAATAGATCAACGATGAAGCCATTTTGCACGATCATGGCCGGCTTGTGAACCAACAAGTCGATCGCATCTTCAACGTTTAAGACGACGAAGATATAGTCTGAAGTACACTAAATTTTCTATAGGTGCAAAACCTACCGCTGAGACCCGCGAGACCTGCACCTTTTGGAACTATGCTTGAGTTCGGAGTTCCGAGGAGCAGAAAGCCGTGCATGGGGAGCAGCCGTAGCCAGTTGAAGTTAGTTTTGTGAGACGAACCGTGTCCGGTTTTGAAGGTTACCTACAATAAACTTTGTCGTCCTTATTATCCCGATACCCCGAGTAGGCATTGCCGTATCGAACGGTAGAGGTTAGGCTACGGCCCGGCCTGCACATAATAAACTGCTTAATATAAATCATGGCCTCAACTTAAAGCTCACCTTGAACGTAGATGCTGTAGGTATGTCTATAAATACAATATAGTTCCACATTTACGGGTCCATCCAAAACATTCTTATGTCTTCTTTCCTTTTCCCGTGGGCGTTTTAACATCAGTGCAATGTCATCGCTCGATGACAGATGATCCTCTAGGAAATCTCTTATTGACGCTCGATTCCAAGCGAAAATACAAACTGATACCCTCTATTCGGATGAACATTCAGCCTTAATGCCTCAATGTCGTCTCTATTGCGAGCGCTACAGCTGAATATCCGCGAGGAAATCTCCGGCGACACTTTGAACCAGCCATCAAAATCCTCACCGATCTCTCGTTTTATTTCCACTGCAGATTCCCAGGATTCCATCTCCACGCATCTGCCTGTGGTCCTGCAGTGAAAAGAAGCGCTGGGGCTTCATCACGGTCTGTGTGCCTGTCTCTTCCTATTTTCGTCACTGTCTCATGCCTTGTATATCTATGTATATAACTGTACTATCTGATGCGAGCATGCGTCCATATTCGTTTCTACTTAGAACAGGGCTGAGGGTCGGCCCAGTAATTGCCGGGTTACTGAATTGGAACGACGTTGACACTTTTTCATTTTGCATGTGGCGCTTGCAGTGGGGATAACATGGGGAATGGGGATAGCATCAAATGTAGTTGAGTTCACGATCTAAAAAAGAAGAACTCGCTCGCTCGTTAGTTACCTACCTCCCTGCCTTCCCCTGTCCGTCAGTAGGTATAGCACAAAAAGCTTCTGTCTCCGTCTTTGTCTCACTCCTACAGCCTACCTCCCTCTCCGTTTCCGCCTTTTCCAAACCACACCTCTCTCTCTTTCTCTCTCTCTCTCTCTCTCTCGCTCTCTCTCTCTCTCTCTCTCTCTCTCTCTCTCTCTCTCTCTCTCTCTCTCTCTCTCTCTCTCTCTCTCTCTTCCACTCTCTCTCTCTCTCCCACTCTCCCTCCCTCTCCCTCTCTCTCTCTGCCTCCCCCTCCCTCTCCCTCTCTCTCTCCCTACCCCTCTCCCCCTCTCTCTCCCTCCCTCTCCCGGCCCGTCGGCTGAGCGGCACGCGTCTCGTCGCGCCGGTGCCGTCGCCGGTCGGTCTGTCCGACGGCCGACCACCCCCAGTCGGATGCTGCCGCTCCCGTGGTCTGGCGGTGGCGGCGCTGCCCGGACCCGTCATCCCAGGACCCTCCCCAGCCGCCGGCCGACCCCCAGCCCTCGGATAGACTGGCTGCCGCAATGACGGTGAGTGGCCTGAGGTTTTGAGATATTTGGTAGCTCATGGTGTGTGCGACGGGTACTCGGCTCGTGAACAGGTAGTCAAGTGTGGTAGTGTTTCCTTTTAAAGTGAACACTGTTTTGTGGTTTTGCAATGTTGAGCGCCCGTACCTATTTGCCAATTGCTCAAAACATTTTTTTAGATCATTCGGTATAGCTAATCATAATACGTTTACCAAGCTAAATAACGGATGACACTCGAATTGAAAATGAATTCTTACAGCCAAGAGGTATAGCAACATATTACCAATTCGGAAATATTTTACTCGGATGTCAACATTTTAGACAATATGATTGACCCGTGCCAGGAAGGTGGTTGGTCCGATTGTAGCACGTCGTCTCGTAAAAAATCAAAATTCCATTTTTGCTTTAATCCGAACCGATAGCTTTGTAACGCCATTAATTTTAAATGTTATTTTTGTCTGAAGCGTTGTCCTCTGGTAATGTGAAAGTTTCTCCCTAATATCATGTTTTGTGAGCAAAACATCTAGAACATGATGTCTATCTTACGTCATTTTCGGCCACAGTGTCACAGTCTTTGACTCGTCTTCAGATCATCATCCGAAGATTTAATATGGAAATGGCAATTGGCAACTGCAAGTTTAATGGCGATGTCGTTATTACGTTAAAGATATTGAGGGAAGGAGACAAGGGGCCGTCTTGACCCCCCTCCCCTTACGGGGCACGGACACAACGGTGGACATGAGCTGTCTTTTGGCTATAAACAATAAACATAAGACAAGTAACTAGCTTAACCCGCGCCCTGCTGGGGGTCCTGGATTTCCACGCCCTGCTGGGGGGGGGGGGGGGTGTTTGAACACCCCCCTTGTAACTCGGCTCCTGGGCCACGTAGCGATACGCGGAAGGCGGCGTTCGAAAGAGCGTAAAAAATAATGACGAAATCACTTCGGTCAATTTTTTGGTCAGGTCAAAGGTCAGGTCATCAGAGGTCATTGAAGGCAAAATTTCGCCGATTTCCAGGTCGAATGTCGAAAATTTCCAAGAAGCCAACGCATAACTCGGGAACCAATAGAGCTACAGCGCCGCGGAAAAGCGCATTCGATAGCCCTATTAACGCCCTTTCTGAGTAATTCTCTCAGATTTGACCTAACGTCAACGGTTTTGCCTGCAGGGGGCAAAAACTGCAAAAATAGCCGATTTTTTCGAAAACAGTTTTTCTGCAATAACTTTTGACCCAAGCCTTGTACGAGCTTAATTTTACCGGCATCGTGTTCCTCTCGTCAAGACGCATCGAATGAACTATAACTTGACCTTGAAAGGTCAACTTGAAAATTTGACCTCAGGTCAAGGTCATGACCTGACCGGGAAGGGTCATGTTGCATATCAGTCGATCCGTATCGTCGAGCTGAACACATCTAAGGCGTTTTCATCGCTCTAGCATGCCTCTATCAAAAGGTATTTGCGAAAAACTGTTAGATACCATTCGTGACCTAAGATGACCTCAGGGCATAAACAAGGGTCACGGACACCATTTTCAAGTTCAGTGTGTCTAAACCACTTGTAATTCGGTGTTTGGGAGTGTTTATAATGTCTTTCATCCAAAAGAGGCGCATTTCAATTTTCTCCCATTGACTTATAATGGGGAGGTCGCAAAATTGACCTGACCTTAGGTCATCGATATCAAAATTCTGAGATAAACATTTTGTACATGCTATTGCTCTTAGCAATCGCTGAAAGTTTCAAAGCGATCGGTCACTCGGTGTAGCTATGACAGACATTGAAAGTTTTTATGAGGTGAGGTCACTTCAAGTGACCTGGTGACCTGACCTTGAATGACCTTGGTCTGAAATTTTCACAACATGTGTATAATTGATGTATGATAAGGTGTACTAAAAAACGGCGGCGCGGAGCGCCGCCGTTTTTAAGATATTCGCGAAAAACCACAAGGGGGGGGGGGTGTTCAAACACCCCCCAGATGGGCCCAATCTGGGCCCCCCCCAGATTGGGCCCAGGGCCCAATCTCACCAAGTGCGGTAAACTCAATTTGGGGTAAAATACCAAACTACCCCACTCCGTAACTACAAAAATACTGTCCCAAAATTAAGTTTACATAACTTGGTGAGATTGGGCCAAGTGCCCAACCTCACCAAGCTAGTTTAACTAATTTCGGGGTAGTATTTTTGTAGTTGTGGAGTGGGGTAGTTTGGTATTTTACCCCAAATTCAGTTTACCGCACTTGGTGAGATTGGGCCCTGCAGGGCGCGGGTTAACATGATAACACAGTCGATTATTTCTGGTTCCTGGCGGCATTTTTATAAACTATTCCCTCGCACCAATGCTACGCTTAGAATGATACCTAGGTTATGCACCTATTTCCTAATAATTAATCTTTTAATAGTGCAATGCAATCTACATTTACCATGCATGGTGATCCATATTTATCCCGCACCGTAGACAGTGTTTACAATTGCTTCACGTGCAAAGATAGAAAATTATCAGGTGTCGTGTAACTGATTTGTTAAACGTCTAGACGATTAACAAACTTTTAAACGCTTGGTTAAACGTCTAGTAAACATTTCATCTAGTCTGCAATATATCATATTTTTTTATACAAAATGTATTTTTTACTTTTAAGCGCCCGGAAGATATCGCTGGTACGGGATGAAATTATCAAACCGCTCGTAGGTAGAAAAAATCTGTTAAATGTCGAGCCGATAGGCGAGACGTTTAAAAGATTTGTTGAAGTACCTACTCGTGGTTTAATGTATAGTGCACCTACAGCGTGAAATAAATAATCCAGAATTGGAGGATCAAAAGCATGCGATATGGCGATAGCATGCTTTTGCATCCCGAAATTCCCATTGGTGGGTCGCTGAAAAAAAGTTCGGCTGAACCTGTTTGTCAGTGAGTATGTGAGTATGTGAGTGAGTTTGTTCAAGCTTTTTTGGACCTGGAGTCAAAATGGGTGGACCGATCGGGACGAAAGTGGGACCGTTTGATTCGTCTCCGGCGAGGTAAACTTTTGGTGCTGGCCTCGGTTCGCCCGGTGCTTCGTGGCACATGCTATTCCGCTTCAAAGTTTCGGTGACACGAAATTTTTTGTCAAGGCTACAGGTCAACCCGAGGTCACCGGCAAAGCCATACTGGCGGGACACATCGGTAACACCTTGAACCAGTTTCCAGGGGGTCACCGTCTGCGAGGGGTGCAGGCTGCACGTGCTGGGGTCGGAAAACCGTTTTGACGTGAGGTCCTCTGGCTCAAAGAAATTTTAAGCTATCAACCTCAAAATCGGTTCAATGGTAGTCCCAGGCAAGGCCTCCAAAATAATGCACATTTGTGACATTTGGTTGAGCTAAACTCTGTGGTGCATGAGCTATGCACGTGCAAGCCGATTGCACCCCTTCGTACGTTGCCACGCCTGCAGGGTAAACGGCAGCTCTAACTGGTTCAAAACTTGCAGGTCATAAGAAGAATACATTTGATCACGACATTCCGGCGAGATAATTTATCTGTTGCATTGGAGTTCGACAGGGGCATTAAATTTCGACTACAGGGTCGAATAGAGACGACATGCTGCATAGTGCATTCGACCTCATTATTTCGTTTTAGACGGTAATCATTATCATTAGAAAAAAGCAAAACGCTTTCTTTTTAATGAAGCCATTGGGCTATGGATCCTCCAATTCTGGCCCAAGGCAACGCACGAGCGCTGCCGGCATCTAGTTTTATAAGCGTATGCTTATACGCCTGCCTGAGTCTAACATGAAATATGCTAGTCATATAGGAAATATCAACATTCCGTACACGTTTAAAGGTAGTGTGCCACCTTTGAAAGATTTCCCATTTTATTTTTCCTAGGATAAGAAGCTTCTGTTTTTACCTAATATCGCAAAAAAAAATCAAAAATGGGTCTGGAATAGTGCCTTTTTTGCCTAAAAGTTTATCGGTTTTTCGATATGTTTAACAACTGTAGTGGGCAGGCCTGCAAACAGGCGTCGGCAACAATCGCGAATGCGGCGCACATGTGACAATAAGCAAAGGTCATTATAGAGTTACGACGTACGGGAATGAGTTATCAGCTGTCTAATCGTAGACAGCACAATGTCGAGCCGTAAACTGTAAGCCTGTATTGGTATTGTTTCTTTTATTTGGCTGTCGAACATTATTTATGGTTTGAAATATGATTTTATGTAAAATAATTGATATGAAAAGCCGTCTCTTAAGTTATGACCCCATTTCACCACACGCAAGTGGCAGAAATGACAATGATCAGCTAACGCATTTTTCTTGGCCGAAGTCAGAGCGCGCGGCCCGACGCACCACCACCGCACCACAAAGTATGAGCAGAAGCCGCGCCCAAAGCCAGGGCCCCGGTAACGTGGGGTAGCCGAGTCGGGGCAGCGTGCGCTGACCCATGCCAGGGCCGCAGCTTTGGGCGCGGTCTACCGCATCCCCGCGGGCAGCCCCGGGCTATCACATGACACCGGGAGGACGCGCGGCCCCGGCTTGGGTCAGCGCGCACGCTGCCCCGACTCGGCTACCTCACGTTACCGGGGCCCTGGCTTTGGGCGCGGTCTACCGCACCACCTAACAGGCGTGTTCGAAACCGCAGGAGATGATGATGAACGGGTTTATCGAAACTTGATTGGATGAGCATATCGGTAATAGCGATTTCAGTGTGTGCATTTATTGTTCATAGTGGTGTGAAATGTGGTTGGGGTACGACCGACAACCCGTCGGGGCGAATTTCGCACTGGGGTACTCAAAATTTGAAGAATTTAAGACGTTTCCATGAGTTTTGAAGGTATGGATAAGTTCTAAAAATCCGGTTCTCCTTATCTGGGCCATTAACTCCATACGGTCCAGGAAAGCTGGCACACTACCTTTAAGAATGGAGTTGCAATGCAATCGGCAGGCGACATGCTTGTCTCTTATCAGAAGCCGAGTCTCTGCAAAGACATAAATCTTAAACATCGGACGAATCGCTCGCATCGTTTGTTGGGTA